ACAGAGACAATTCAGACAACCATTTTTTACACATACCAGTCTAGACAATCCAAGTTACTTTTAAATATCTTAGAATACTACTATAGTACAAGTGGCAACCATCTTATAAACTACAGAATTAGCATTAGGTGTTTTCACAAATGGGACCAAAGCAGCTCTTGTTTAAACCCCTTTGTAATGAAAATATAAAACCTACATTGGCAGGGTCACATTGGAAAATGCCTCTGCAGCTTCTCTTCTGCACTAACAAGGACCAAGTATTAACAAAATTAGTGCAAAGGCAAGTGTGAAAATGCTCAAACACCTGAGTGCAACTCACTACAGTGGTGCCTCGCAAGACGAAAAGAATCCGTTCCGCGATTCTCTTCATCTAGCGGTTTTTTCGTCTTGCGAAGCAACCCCATTAGCGGCTAAGCGGATTAGCGCTATTAGCGGTTTAGCAGCTTAGAAAAAGGGGGGGAAAGCGGGGGGGGGAAATGGCGAGACTCGCAAGACATTTTCGTCTTGTGAAACAAGCCCATAGGGAAATTCGTCTTGCGAAGCGCATCGCAAACGGAAAACCCTTTCGTCTAGCGGGTTTTCCGTCTTGCGAGGCATTCGTCTTGCAGGGCACCACTGTACCTCTTTAGTGGGAGCTGTTGTGCGGTTCCGTGCACATGGAATGTAACTTCTTTGTGGAATGATAGGCAATTCTGAAGATGATAAATTAGCTTGAAAACTGCTAAATTTGGGATTGTTTTCTTTTTTTAATGAAAAATCATTAATTTAATGTGCACGAAGTATGGCCACAATAACCCCAAAACAAGTTCATGGAGCCGAGCCAAATTTGGTATGTAGACCTCTTGTAGCATGAAGAAGAGCTGCTGAGCTTTTGGCTGGAAGATCACAACTGGAAATGGGAGCAATGTGCGGGACCTAATACCTATTTTGCTTATGAAATGACAAGTCAGTCAGAGCATTCAATGAAGAGACACAAAGCAATGCTCTGATATCACATTTCATATACAAAATAGTTATTAGAACTCACATATTTGCGTTCCCCCACAAAAATAGCAGTGTTTATGACATCCTATTTATGACACCTTAAAGCATTTTGTGGACTCCTAAGTACCACGAAGTGCCTTGTTCTTCCTGCAACAAGGTACCCCTCTAAAAACTGTGCATGCACATGGTTTCACCTGTTTGAATGGTGGTCTGCTTTCCTTTTTCAAAAAAAGTATATGTGATACATACAGGCAGCTGTGTTGTGTTCAAGTTTTATTAGGTTATGCAAAGAGTTAGTGATGGGTGCACACACAAGCCTACATTAATCCATAAAGTGAATTTAGGAGATTTTCAACTAGTGGGAGAGGAGGGCGAAGACACAAGGAAGCTTCAGACGTAATTGCACTTGCTCACAGCAGGTTCCAGAATGCTGAGAACCTTAGTCCTTGCAGTAATGCTCCAGCAGGGAATTCCCTGCCTTCTTCCCTCTGCCTATTGAGTACAGTACTGTGAAAAATGAGGGTGTCATTTGTTCAGGAATGCTATACAGCAGAACCCAATATGGCTCCATCTTATACTGGGCTAGACTCTGGATGGACCAAGATAATGATCTAAAACAGACCTAGGGGCAGGCAGGCACCCAAAGTTCAGTCTATAAGCCAAAGCTCAAAAGTAAGAACAGGAGCCCTTAAAATTTAAGGAAGATAGTAATGCAAATGACAGTCTCCAAACTGAAAATCATGGACACACAAATATAAAATAAGTAACATAATATTCAGTTGGGTGTGGGATGGGAGGGTATCTGTTAGTAGGTTAACCTTTACATACGAAAACTGAAAGGGAACTAACATTCTTATAATGCCGCAGGAAAATAGCCAGGAGAAGAGCTATTCTGGGATTTTTGCAAGAAATATGGAGGACACAGTACAAAGGTTAGCAGCAGCACCTGTTTAACATTGTAACTTATCTTCATTTTATGTTTAAAAAATCCAAACTGAAGCACTAATTAGGACATTAAACATGATAAGATATGAACAACACAAGCTATATGTGATATATTCAACTGCAAATCACATGAAAAACAGCTGGCTGCAGACATCTTTGGGAAAAGGAAAACCACAGACAACTCATTATATTTCACTTTGCTCCCCACCATCCCATTTTTTCTGCCAGTTTCTCTTCCTCCTCTAAAGCTACTATCACGAACACTGATGGCTCTCTAAATAATGGCCAGGCACACCTGCCTTCACTTAACGAGACAAACTGCAGAGCTGGGCACCTTCATAATATAAATAAAAGAGTGGTTTGGGGTTTTTGGAGCAACGGTGACCTATCCCACCTGTCTCTTTTTTCTGATCTGACAGATGGAAAACCCTCGTTTTATGACCAAAAAAACATTCTGCAAGGTCCTGCTCCTCCCTCACTTAGATAAATTCAGTTATTTCTACTCTAGTTCCCATATGCCTTTTTGGGGGGAAATCCTTTTAAAAATATCTGCTCAAATTTGTTTGTTTTCCAACTGTCAGTGATTATTTTTATGTGGCTCTGACAGTCTGGCTTGCAAAGCATTTCTGCTGTGAAACTGAGATCCCTTGCAAGAATAAGGGGGTATTTCCTTTGCTGCAGAATACAAACCAGGGTCATTGTTAACTACCAGGGAATCTGAACTTCCTGAACAAACAACAGCCAGTGTCATCCTCGGAGTGCAGTTTTTTGATAGAAGTATCATGTGTGCTGGCATTGTCTTTTTATTACAATATGTCTAGCCAAGAATGCAGAGCCTGAATGTATAACACACTGCATTTCGAAAGCAGACTTGGACTTCTAAAGCACCTGGATTTTGTTGCAGTTACTGACCTGTTATATTTTTCATTGCATCTCTGAAGCCAATTTTTAGAACTTGGGCAGAAAATAAGCAAAGGCTCAGCTAAACATCAAATCCTTCTCATCCATAAGTACAAACTCTACAAGCACAAAAACCACTTAACAGTAGCTCAGCACAATGGACATTAGAGGGGAAAAGCTTCAATCACAAATACATCCTGTAAACAAGAGCGTTCAGGTAGCCTGACAATGTCATGGGCAAAGTCAGCTGAAAGATTTGTGTCTAAGCAAAAGTCAAGGATATGATTCCAAGATTACGGACTGGAAATTAATCTCTGGCGGCACAAAGGGAAAAGATAAGGAAATTTGATTACACGAGACATTATTGTTTGATCTTATCAGTGGAATTCACACTTACCAGGCAAATGCACGTTATGCAAGGATTGTCTGTGATAAAGGGGATCTGTAGTACTTCTCCTTCATTTTCACATTTTGCAACAGAACCTGCAATAGATATTTTAAAAATTAATACTTTCTCCTCCCACTTTGCTCATGTTCAGCCTGAATTAACTATGCACAGCACTGCAGTCAAAAAATATGTAGTCCTACACATACTTAGGATGAAACTTATGTGGAAGAAAAGCCCACTGAAATGAATAGGAGTTACTTTTAAGTAAATGTGGGTTTTCCTTTGATTGAAGAAATGCAAGTATTTGGAATTATTACTATTTTGTTAAGCGTTTGTACATTTTTTAAAATTATTGTTGTCTTACCCATCCACAAACTGTCCAAAGTAGAAGTAGTATGGGGGTGAATTAATTGTGTAAGTTGTTCCTAGGTGTCAACAGACAGGAATGTTTTTGGATCCTTTGAAACTCTTTGGGAGTGTTACTTTTAAAAATGAAATTTAGGCAACGTTGATAAGGACCTGATGTCTCTAGGTGGGAATTTCTCATTTACTTATGTGGATCAGATCACATGAACTCAACCCACGGGTGTCTTTGAAACCTAAAGACCAAGACTATAATCAGCATCAATTTGCTGCAAAATGAGTCCAGTGAGCAAAACCTCCCTGGAGACACACACATCCCCACACACCCTCAAACACAATTCCATAGCGGGACATCTCTGGAAAGCTAACACTTCTCACAATGGCTCGAAATGGACTCAACATCTCTCTGGACGCCCCAGGTGTCAGTAAAGTGTGCCCTCCCTGAAGCAAGGGGTGGAGAGGAGAGCAGCTGAGGTCCTTCACCTGCCTGAAAGGCATGCAACTTAAGGGGTCACCTCTCCTTTTCAACATCTCCACATCTGCTGACCAAAGGCTCTCAAGGCCGAGTGCGGAATGCTCCCTATCCGCGTGTTGATGCTGATCATCCTAAGTGAGAAGACGCAGCCGTCCTCACGCCACGCAACTGCACCCTACGGCTATCAGCCTGTCGGTGCGCTCCGTTCCTCCTCCAGGTCCTCCAGCTAGCAACTGATCTCCGAAGGCAACAGCCCTGTGGCTTGCTTTAGGTTTGCACCAGATCCAGATCTGACGCTCGGCAGCCGGGCTGCTCAGCTGTCTGAGGATCCTCACCTGCGCGATGCTCGCGGGGTGCGCGCGTGCAGAAGAACCTCGCCCGCCCCAGACCCGCTTTCGGCCCATTCCGACGACCCGAAAAAACCTGCCTCCATCATGCGCGCATACCGCCCCACACCCCCGCCCCGGCGCGCAACTTTGGGCACGCCGCTCGCCCTCCCTCCCTCCCGTACCTGTGGGGAAGGAGGAAGCCCCGGCCATGGGCGCTGCCCCCAGGTGGTGCAGCAGGAGCCAGGCGGCGAAGGGGAGCCCGGGGGAGCGGAGGAGCCGCGGGGACACGGCTCGGGAGCTGCCGCTGAGGAGCCAGAGCATCGTCCCCGGGAGGAGAGGAGGAGCGGCGGCGGCAGCGGCTGCTACTGCAAAGCAGGGAGAGAAGGAGGCGGCGGCGGCGGCGGGGAGCCGGGCAGGGAAGTTGCTGCTGGGGATGCAGAGGCGGCGGCGGCGGGAGGCGGACTTCTCTCCCTCTCTGGTGCTGCTGCTGTGAGGCGCTCGCCAGCCCACCGGCCCCTCCTGAGCGGGATATGGGTGGGCGGGCGGGGTGGGTGGGGGAGAGGCGCCGGGCGAGGCGGGGCCAGCCGGCGGCGGCTGCCGCTGCGCGAGGGACCCCCGCCCGCCTCGTGCCCTGACAGGAGCCGCCGCTGCGCCCGCGGGCGCCCTTGACGCGGCGCCCCTCATGCCCCCTCGAGAGGCGTTGGGGGGCAGCGAGACAACGCCGGGCCCCGCCCCTCACTCCGCGCTCGGCTTCAGGGCTGTCTTGCGAGGGGGCGGCGGGAAAAGGCTCTGAGGAGAAGCTCGCTCGCTGTCCCGCGTCGCTTTTCCTCACGTCGTTTTCCCTTTCCCTTGAGGGGACGGCGAGGTGAAGGGAGCCCGCTGCCTTCCTCCTCGCACGTGGCGAGTCGTCGGCGGAGGTAGAGAAATAATAATAATAATAATAATAATAATAATAATAATAATAATGGTTTGAAATTTAAGGACCCCCCCCCAAGGAAAAGGCACTTTCTTGCCCTGCCCGTGGACCAGGAGGTCGTGGCGGGCGAGGCCTTCAGCAACGGGGCCCTTATTCACCCTCTCGTATAGAGAGGAAAGGAGACGCGGAGGTGCAAGGCTTGCGGGGCAGTCCTGTTGCCTACTCGGAAGTAAGCCCCGCTGAGTTCATCAGGGGTGCCAACTTGAATACAGTATGATATTGGGGGGGGGAGGCAGGTAAGCCCCGCCCTGCATAGTTGGCCACATTGGCAATGCCCATGAACTGGGGGGGGGGACTGGCCCCCTCAAATGCTTTATTGGGGGGCCTGAAGGAACCTGGGTCCCTAGGAGTTGGCTCTTATGGGATTCACTGGGGCCTCCTTCGGGGTGAAGTGCTATTGGAGCGCCACCCGATTCTGTAAAAGCATTTTTAAAATTATTAAATCTGCTGGATTAATCCATTTTAAAGGTACCAAAATTAAGATGATGGTGGTGGTGATGTATTTTTAAAAAATACGCAAAGCTGTACAGTGGTACCTCAGGTTACATACGCTTCAGGTTACAGATTCCGCTAACCCAGAAATAGTGCTTCAGGTTAAGAACTTTGCTTCAGGATGAGAACAGAAATCGTGCTCCGGCAGCACGGCGGCAGCAGGAGGCCCCATTAACTAAAGTGGTGCTTCAGGTTAAGAACAGTTTCAGGTTAAGAACGGACCTCCGGAACGAATTAAGTACTTAACCTGAGGTACCACTGTAAAACAAATGTAAAAGCAACCTGCAAGTAGGAAACATCATCTCACATAGTGGTTGCCTCTTCCAAGAGACCTGCCTCATCTACAAGCAGGAAGGGACAAAGTAAAGCTTCTTGCTTCAGAAGTACTGTTGTTTTTTATGGCTGTAGGTTTTTACAAATTTAATCAGCCAACTAAAACTCATACAAACAGTCCACTTAAGTTTAATCGGGTGACTGCCCTGCTAAGAAGAGGCTGAAGAGGTGCACGTTCCCTCACCAGTGAGAGCCTCACACAGAAAGCAAGGTTTTTAGGCAGAATTGAGCCCCAGCATCCTTTTTTAAAAAGAAATTAAGCATTGCAGAGAGACAAACATCACAGTTTATTAACTGCTGCAGATAAAATGGCTCAGATTAAAGGCTCAGCTAAAGAGATAATTCAAAAGTTCGCAACCTTATGAGTTTTTTTTTTAAAATAATTCCACATATTTTAATTGTTTCTGGATGGTGATAATGCAAGCCATGGTAAGAATTCTTTGAAGGTGTGAATAATATAAATAAATAGGAAAGGGGGCAAATGATGGTTCAGGAAGGGCACTCCTCCCAGAACTCCTATTGCTATCCCAGAGCTTACATTTAAAATTGTGTGAGGTGCCACGTCTCATTACACCTTTGGCAATCCAAGGTGAGGAATGCCAATGGTTGCTGGAGCATGCACTGCTAGATAGTCTTCCCTAAGTCCAGTGCTGTTCTCTCCCTCCAGTGTGCAGGCCACTTCAGAGGACCATTTCATGCATGCTCTTTTGTGCCATTCCTCATGCTACCACGTTTGGAATACATACAGCCATACATATTTTACTTCCATCCGCCCACTTGTATGTCTTCTTTTTATCATATTCATCCTTGCAACAGTCCTGTGTGATGATGATGATGATGATTGTTCCCATTTTGACTGATGATAAACAGGCTGATAAAAAGTGCCCTGCTCATACCCCTAACAGAGTCATGCTTCAGCTAAGTGTTTCCACATCACATTCAACCTTTTCCCACCCCACATACCCACATTGCTCTTCCTGGGCTTCTTTCTGCACACCCATTAGGACGTCATTCACACACAAGCACAAAGTACAGTCTTAGAACGTATTTTCAGTGCCGAGTTCAGACTTGGAGCATTTGAGTAATTTTTTTTAAAGCATGAGGAGAGTTCTGGTAGTCCTGAATATGTAGTCAAATTGGGTTGCTGGTGGGGAGATATATTTCTGCTTTCAGGGTTTTTTCTCATTGTGCCCCTCCTAATCATGGTCTTTTATCATTTGAATATATTCTTCCAATCCCTTCTCTCTTATTATCACATACTTCTTAATATGTGAGTGGGGGGTGCTTGTGTAATCTCACTGTATACAAGTTGTACAAGTGACAATAAAGTATTTCAATATACCTGCTGCTCCTTCACTTTGTCTTACCCTCCCTCTCTTGTGTTCTGTCTGTACAGGTTGATATTTAAATCACAATATACTCATGGTTGCGCAAAACTCATTGAGGTTAGTGCTCAGGTTCTCCTTATTTGTGATTCTTGCTGCTGTGATGAGAGAGAATCATACAATATACTTTTATCAATTGCTGAGCTAATAAGATACCTTATTGTACAAGTTCCTGATGAGGATGCTGTTCTTATCACAATTGGATGTTTATATGAATCTTTTATATAAACAGCTTGCTTCTCTGATCTTATGAATCCATAAACTTTGAAGCCAGACTGCAGAAACCTATAAATATATAACATCTTTTTAGAGAAGTTAGTCACATGCTTTGCAAATCTTTACATTATGACAGCAGTTACTAAAATGCAATAAAGCAAAAACAGATCAGCTGTGTTTCCCACAATATATTGCAAATGTGCTAACACTACGGATACTTCCATTCAAACACATTTACTACCATCCACCTTCTTCCAGTGCTGGACTCTTTCCATACTTTACTGTTTAGGTTTGTTGGCAGCTTTTACTTAAGTTTATTTAGAAAATAATTGATTGGTTTTTGTGGCATCTCTTTGAAAATATTATTTTAAGCAACCATTCTCTGCTGTTCCACTCTATAGAAGAATTAGCAAAAAGGTCAGCAAACGATGGAACGAAACAGGAAAGTGATTATTAATTCTCACGAGGAAACCCACCTATTGTATTCTCTTAAGGCTCCTGTAACATTTCAAATGCATCAGGAGATAACCCAGACAAAATGCATTTTTTAATTGTTGCCTTTGACATTCCTGATAGAAGTAGGGTTACAAAACAAAGGTGGTGTTTTTCAACTGATTTGGACCTGATTCACTCTTCTCTGGCAACTTGGGTAGATAGCCCTAATGCAAAGAAGAAGAAAAAGCCAAAATGGATTGAAATCTAAGTACAGTGGTACCTCGGGTTAAGTACTTAATTTGTTCCGGGTCCGTTCCTAACCTGAAACAGTTCTTAACCTGAAGCACCACTTTAGCTAATGGGGCCTGCCACTGCACTGCTGCCGCACGATTTCTGTTCTCATCCTAAAGTAATGTTCTTAACCTGAGGTACTATTTCTGGGTTAGCGGAGTCTGTAACCTGAAGCGTTTGTAACCCGAGGTACCACTGTAATTAAGAGGGTCAGAAAGTATATGATATTGTGTGGTTGTACATATTTAAAGCAAATGGCAGCTGTTGTGTGAAAGTGTGTCTCAGTGTGTGAGAGAGAGATTGGGATCATGGTATGTGAAGAGAGCACTTTAATCCTTTTGCCCAAGTCTGGACTCTCCCTCTCCACAATTGCCATTTGAATTTGGAGGGAAGATCCCATTGTTGCTAATTAATTGTTCTGTCTCTGAGAGCAGTAGAAAGAAGGCTGAGCACAGTCAGTCTTATTTTTGAAGATGGGGAACCAAAATGGTTCTTTCTGAGGGGTATTTTAATAGCCATGCAGGTGTGTGAGAGAGGAGACTGTGTGTGAGAGGCAGGTGTGTGAGAGAGGAGACCTTTAGGGTTTTCAAAGCTGCAACCAGCATCTTGAACTGAGACAAGAAGCAGATTTTGTGTAAGTGCAACTGTTTTAAGACTGGCAAGATAATTTTCATTTGTCTGCTCCCAGTTAACTTACATATTTTGTAAACAAACAAACAAAAAACACACCCACCCCAAGTTTCCAAACTATTTTCAAAGGCAACACTAATTCACATGGGGACTGTTTTACAATGTGGATTGGCCTGATCAGTAGAGGGTTTCCTTGCATTCCTGGCAGTGGTGAGATTCTTTATGAATGCTGCTCTGTGTCTTTCAGAAGTTGTGGATGCCACACAGCATGGGTGCCAACAGGATTTTCTGGGCCAAATATGTGAATTGGGCCTTCTGCCCCTTGAAACTTTGCATAAAATTTGCATACAGTTTGTGTTATACACAAATTTGTATCCTGTTTTGCATGTGAAATGGAGGGCCCCATAATAAATTGGGCCACACACAAGCAATAACATTTCAGATGGACAAAATTTCAACAGATGGAGTTTTTTCTGTAATTTTAGTTCCATACTAGGTTTAACATTTTTCGTTTCTGCTGTCACAAAGCTGTTAAAGGCCCAAGATCCCCATTTCCCCTAATACCATTCCTAAAACAATGCAATGAACTCATGTTTTCTTGAATTATACGACAGTTATGTTACCGTATGTCTTTTATCACTTGACTACAGGCAGGCAATACAGTGTAAGAGCCAGTGTTCGAAACTCCCATTGTTCTAGGCACATTTTGCGACAGAGAATTTCATTAGCGTGAGCAGTTTCTGAGCTCTGGGCGCAGTACTGTGCCTAAGATTTCAATTAAAACTGCAGAGTGGAAGGAATGAGGACCTTTTTCTGCCTCCCCACTTCTAGCTACCTTCTGAAGACCAGAGAAGAGACCCTTTTAAGAATATTAGGGGGGTAGGCAGGAGAAGGACTAGACATAAAATGAACCTAATATTTTAGCTGCAGTTCATTCATTTTGAGCTTTGTATTCTTGTTATAAAAAAGTGCACCTAGACATTCAGTTGTTGCTCCCATAACCTAGGTTTAAGGTGCCATTTAGCTCCTGGCTTTCATATCTCAGTTTCTAACACTGGTAAGAGCAGGAATGGTACTTCAGGTAGTGGAAGGTGAGGTGGGTGTGGGCTCATAAGAAATATAAGATTTATAGCAACTAAAGTTCTCATGCCTGTGCTTAGATATATTAAAGTTTTATTATTATTATTATTATTATTAAAATTTAGAGTATTCTGGGTGCATTTATTGTGGTCATTGATTTATATTGATAAAAATATGTATAAACTGCCCATATGAATATTTAGAAAAGAATAAACTGGCCACATAAAATATTAAGGCAGTGTAGAACAATATTGACCGTATAATAACTACACTTACAACAATTTACACCCCTTCTCATTTTTATTTTTGAGCCTTTAACATAAATGTATCCATTTAAGTGTTTATACCAGGGGTTGTCAACCTGGTCCCTACCACCTACTAGTGGGTGTTTCAGGATTCTAGGTGGGCGTGAGGGGGTTCTATGGCACAAGCTGAATCCTCCTTCCATCGAGCACTGGTGGGCGGTAAGAAAATTTTACCATCAAGAAAGATGCATTAGTGGGCGGTAGGTATAAAAAGGTTGACTACCCCTGGTTTATACCAACAGTTACACCCCCCCCCCAAGAATTCCCCTGTTCACCTCCTTGGATGGGAAGCAATTCATCACCACCACCCTCATTGGTGCTACAAATCAGCAGCTCCCTTTTCATTTTTCTCATCCCAACCACAAAACAATATTAGTACAGCAACATTGGACTACTTTGCAGGACTGATGTAATCTACACTCTCGGTCAATCGCAATATCTCCCCTGCAATATGGATATAAACATGTCAGCTTTTATTTGCATTTCCATTGTATTTTTTTACATATTCAGGAAAAAAACTTTTTTTGCCAAAATTAAACTCAGAAAGAGTTAGAAAGAGCATGAACTCCTGTCTTTGCAGGAGCTAATTACTAAACTAGCAATTATTTCTCTCGGCTACAATCACTTCTCTATCAGGAAAGGTGAAATAGCAGTTTCAAAATGAACCGGGAATTCCTGTCAAAATAAACCCGGCACTCCTTCTCCGTTGTCAGAATCTAGAGAAAAATCTAGAGTGATATACAGCCCAAGGAAGACCCCAAACCAGCTTCTGAATAAATCAGGAAGTTCCTTCTCAGTTGTTTAGTGAACGGACTTCCTGACTCAGTTTGGAGTCTTCCTTTGTCTTTGAATGACTCTTTTAATTTGGAAAAAGTATTTTCATCATGCCCTTTGTTAAGCCAAGGATATATTGTGTCACAGCAATATAAAATTTTGATACTATCAGATTGAAATGTCCTGTGAATTTTGTGACTTAACAGCAAATTAGCAAACAATTGGCAATGCAAAGGAAGATCTTCACCTTAGCTCGCTCATTTGCATTTTAGGTTTGTAATCTGATATCATTACAAATGCACTGAGCACATAATTACATTTGTCATTTGAAATGGTTCCAATCCACCCACCAGTTGTTGAGCGGTGTAACATTTTTTATCTCTACCTTGGAATTCAGTATTTCCCCTAACTGTTGAAACAGAGCATAAAACATAGCATAATAATTCAGGACACAATTCAACATTTCAGGTTCAAAATCTGCACAAGTCCTCCTGCCCCATTCCCAGTGGGAAAGAAAAGGTCTAACATTTTCATTTCCATCACTGAAATAGTATGTTGCTTGCCCAAATAACTTCAAGAGAGAAAACCAGCTGTAAATGCATTGGTCTGAAATTAACCATATGATTGACCTTTTGTTGATTAGAAGCAGCGTCATCAAGAATCATAACATAAAACCGTGTTAAAGATGTATCTAGTTAAGTACAGTCATATGTATATCCAGGATCACTAGTCTCATAATTACATATACCTCTTGGCTTAACTCATTGTCCTCCAAATGCTATTCACCTGTGCTATTATAGAGTTATGTCATCCAAACACAGCACTGAATTTAAAGACAGAAAGACCACAACAGCTCAAGAAAAACAATAATTTATAACGCAATCTGACATATACCTATTTAAAAGCAAGTCTCTTTGAATTCAGCTTATTCTTAGGTAATTGTGTCCAAGGTTCAGAGAGAGAAGCTATGTTTAGCTTGAACCAAGAGGTCTTCCAGGTACATGATAGGAGAACCAGGGCTGTGTGTGTGTACATGAACTTGAGGTTTAGTTTTTTATGTGAATGTGGTCAGTAATTTAGTTTCCTGTAAATAACTTTCAAAATACATTCAGATTTAAAGTAAGAGCTTGGAACATTTCAATAGTTCACTAAAAACTCTGTTAAGGTGAACATTTAGGCAAAACCAATCAAATTTAATAAAGCACTGTTTCAAGACTTAAAGCTGAAGATGTAAAATGAGAATGTTAAATGAAATGCTAGTGAACTATTCTAAATATATCTTCATTTTGTCATTCTCGGTTAAATTTATGGGTTTTGCCCCAGAATCTTGATTAATTCAGGCACGTTTTTATTAAACTACCTATTGTTAAAACACTTCATAAACTCTTATGGATACTATATCTAATATAGATATATTGTGTAGATACGACTCATAATTAAACACTTGGGTTGTTTTAGTTCTTTTCCCTTGAAACACAGAACAGACAATTGTTTTGTATAAAAGATGGATTGCTGACTATATTTAAACACTGAAATCAGAATCCTTTAACAAAAAAGAAAGCGGGAAGAGGACATTCCCATTTGCCTCAGTAATCCAGGCATCTGAAACCTGAACAAGTTCTTTTAATTAAAAATAAAATAAAAAATCACTCCCATATGAAGACAATGGATACTTGCACTTTTCACATCCCTTGTATACCCCAGACAAATAGGAAATGCTGTCAGTTTTAGCCATAAAAGTGATAGCGGATGCCATTAAATTGGCTACAGACAAAACAAACACAACTGTATAGGCACATTTGTATTTTGTTTTGTGACTTGGTCACTGTAAACAAAATATCCTCGCAGTCATAAAAAGTGTTTTGTGAAAGATAGCCTTTGAACAGCTGGTGTAGCTGATAAGGAGTAAGCATTAACAAAGTCACTTGCTGAACAGCACAAGTCAGCTGCAGTTCTTTGTCTGGAAAATTCCTATGTCCCCGTAAGTTAGCTTAGCGAATGAAGTCAGCTGGCATCAAGAACATTAGAAAGGTAGACCCTGGTCATTTTAGTGCTAATTTACAGTATAGCTTCATATTTATTAAAATATCATAAAATAAATTGATAGTTTGAAACTGATACTTTCTTTTTGCTCACTTTGAAAACTCATAATTCTCAAGGTATGTTGCACTTCTAAGCAATCGTTTTGAAGGAATCACATACTGAAAAGCATTTCATGGGGTTTTTTTTTAGAACAACAGGCTAGCAAATTTAGACCTAACAACACCTTTTCATGAAACATTTTTTTGAAATTCGAGATAAATTCGGGGAAAATATTTGTATCCACAGGCATCATCTAGCTGCTGTTAGGATTTTGAACCAACCAAAGCATCAGGAAATCATTCTCTGCCCTCCAGCATTTCTGTCCCCTTGTTACAACCTTCTTCTCATCCCAAGGATAACTGCTTGAGCATCCACCCACCTATTACATATTACTGAAGTCTCTTGAGGTACCTGCAATATTTCATTTACCCTATGACACCCTATTCCTCACTGGCTTCTGAAGATGATAATTTGCAGACTGTCCATTATCAGTTTTGTTTCAAAAATTAGGAGGAATGTTTTATGGGATTTTGCAAGCAGGTCAGTCCCACTAAATTTAATGGAGTTTACTCCCAAGTAAGCATGTACTGGAGTGCAGCCATACTGGAGTGGACAGTGGAGCTGGTGTGTACCTTGTGAAATAACTGTTACTCAGTGGAATCCTACCCATGTCTGCTTAGAAGTTAAATACCATGGAATTCAATGAGACTTACTCCCAGGTACATGTGTATACGATTGCACATTCAGCAATGTTTTCTATCTGAATATTCAGGTATGACCACATGGATGCACACTATTATTTTTAAAAAGTACCACCAAAAGGCAAACTAGGGGCAGTGTTTTACCAGGAACCAGATAATTGGAGACATCTTTGGTGAACAGTTGCAGCATTTATTCACAAGGGGAGAGTTTGAGCATTTCCATGCAGAAAAGACTTCTTCAAGAAAATGACATTTTTCAGATTTCCAAGACTCCATCAACAGAATGGAAAAGCAGAAGCTTCACTGTTTCTCATTGCTTCAGATGAGAAGCTTTATCATCCAAAAAACACTTATAATCTGAGATAGGGCTTGCTTCCCTTTTACTAATTTGTTTCAAAGACCATGCAAATGGAAGGCCAGAAAATCAAAAGTACACATTAGAATTTTGTCACTTCAGTCCAGATATGTTAGAGGTACCAACAAAAAAGCCAGTATTTTTTTCACATATTCAGTTCAGTCCCATATATGTTTGCTCGCATGTTAAGTGTACATAGAACTGCAGATTCACGCATAGTCTTATACGGAAGGAATGAGTGGAGGTTGTAATTTCTCTTGGACAGTATTCTTTGGTGTTACAATATAACACACCTAAAATGATTTGCATGCTTTGTGCTTGTTTTGATGTACTAAAAACATTCTCCTTTTAAAATGTCAGTAAAGAGAAACAACAGAAAACCCTCCTGATTATACATTCTTCAAAATGATAAACCCACAGAAGATGGCTTGAGGACATAATATTAATTTCATGTACTGTAATATTGTTCACATTTATTTTGCTTTTATTGTATTCTCCCATTTTAGGAGAGTGAGTATATTGTACTCACAACATATATGTGTTAAAATTACTAAAATTTAATCTACTCAGGCGCTTATGTATATATTCCATCTTTTTCACATTTATTTTGCTTTTATTGTATTCTCCCATTTTAGGAGAGTGAGTATATTGTACCCACAACATATATGTGTTAAAATTACTAAAATTTAATCTACTTAGGCTATTATGTATATATTCCATCTTTTTCACATACTTCTTTTGTAACACTTAGAGAAACAATTGTAGAATAGTGGCTAGTTACTCAAGTTCCCTTAGAATTAAACAATGTTTGAGACTTCCTTAAATAAATAATAATATTTACAAGACCAAGGAATGAATAAATAACAGGAATTGCATAAAACAAGAACAGCCACCCAAAAGATTCTTCAGGTTTTAGGCAGAGAAGGAAAACTGTTGTGCATAGAAACTGCCTATAGATGGCAGTGTTGGGAACTATCAGCCTCACAGCAGAGTAGATAAGATGTCTCAGCTGGTCCCAGCTACAGCTGTATACTTGGCTTGGTGTATTCTAAATGTGTTAATGGGTTCTTCTAAGATGGGTAAAATTGCTTTCATGATTTATTTTCCAGAGTCACTTTCTTTGCATACTAGATGCATTTATTTTTATCCTGTATGTGAACTCAAACAAAAAATCAAATAAAGACTGCATTACAGAGATTATATCTCTGTCATTAGTTTCCAGATTCAAACTTAGCACAATTGTAAAATGATCTTTCTCTCCCCACCCGCACCCCTTAGGTGGCCGGCTGTGACTCGCATCTTTGTGGTAAGTTTTCAAAGGAAATATTCCCTCTTCCTTCTTGATGCTGACCATAAAAAGCCATCAATGGCATTAGCTTAGGGCACTTCCAGATGGCTTCTACTGTGGGGACTGGAAACCTTCAATCTGCAACCTGTAGGATGCTTAGGTCCTTGCTGCATGACTAACAGGGTGAAGGCTGTGATGTGCATATGGCTGCATTTCTGAAACAAATGCCCAAGGAGAGAGTGGAGAGAGTGCCATTTTTGTGTTGTGCTTTAGAGCACATGGTCAGGAATGTGGGCAGCTCCCACTGGGATGTAAGAATTGTGCTGCTAGGTCAGACCAATGCCATTTTGTTTTTAATAGCAACAAGGCAGGTGCCTCTAGAATCCTCTTTGTTGGGTTATTAAGGTGAAGGCTTCTTTCCGTGATTTGTCTCCTGCATCAGATTCAAGGTATACTTCCCTTGTACAAGGAAGCTCCACTAGCTATCATTGCAAGTCATAAATAGGTGACCACTCTGTTCTGCACATATGGATAGAAAAATGGTTCGTTTGGATACCCAGAGTTTAATGAAAATATTTTGAAATGCCAAGGTTCTTGGGAGGGAAATGTGAACATTGCAAAATGCAAGGAATTCTGAGGGCTAAAATAAACATGACTAGGATTGCATGAATGCAATTAACTTGCCCAAATCCTTTTTATAAAAATTGCCACGAGGGAGCCTACGCCATATCAAGACTGTGTGGGGTAAAAAGAGAGATATTAACCCTTTCTCTTCACTGTGGTCCCAATAAAAATTACCCTGTCACCTTTTTTGCACCCAGAGGGAGAGGGATGCCTCCACTGGTGCCAAATGCAGCTCCCCTCCTGAAGCAAATCAAAGTTAGGGTAGGGAACTTTCATTGAAACCACACCAAGGGAGAGAAACTCCCTCTCCAGCCCTTGTGGTACAGATGCTGTTCAGCTGTGGCTGCTATTTGCTTAACAAAAAAGATCCAAGTCCATTGTACTCATGCATTTAACATGTCTAACTTGGCTTAGATTCTGTTCTTGGGGTGGGGATCAGAAAAAGAAAGAGTGGCATGCATTCTGCTATCGTCATTTCCATTAGCCCTTTTCCCCAGTGAAAAACCTACATTCAAAATTCACATAAACCTTTTGAAATGTTTAATTAAAATTCCAACACCCATAGGAATTATTGTTTCATGTTGACTTTGGAGTATCACCCCTCGCTGTGATTCGTTCCCTCTTTCTTTCTTTCTTTCTTTCTTTCTTTCTCTTTTGTAGTCTGTTTTTAGGAAGCTTGAACTGAATACTGCTGCATACAAATTCCAAATCAGAAGTCCAGTGTTGCATATAATGTTTCTGTCTGTGTGAAACAGACAGAACATGACCCACCTCTGTTGTGAAAGGGCAAACTGTATTTGAAACATTCAACATAGTTCTTCTGGCTGGTTGTTAGCTCAGAACGGCCCATAGACATTTTGGCACCCAAGGTGGAAAGTAGTTTTGGCTCTTTCCCACCACGCTTCTAGCACCATCACCCAAAATCTGAGGAACAGGATGATTTGGCACCCCCTTAATGTTGGCTCTACGAACTGCCAGTCTGATTGCCTGCCACCTAGGCCAGCCGTGCCTCTTTACTTCAGGAGGGAATGGAGAAAACTAGCAACAGAATAAATTAATATCTTGCACCATATTTTTTATTTTTGTAATACTGGAAAGCTGTAGGAGTGAGTGTGCATTGTGTCATGATCTCAACTACAAGACTTCTTTCCAAGCCAGGGACCAGCCTTCACATATCCAGTGCCAAAAGTAAGGGAGTGACTTGGGATGTGTTCACACCAAGATCACCTTTCTTGGTGTTAATACACATCTGCAAAGACCTCTTTCTCAAGACTGGATGTGTTCGTTTAGGGTGTAAATTCTGGCCTCCCACAAGTCCGCAGGGCAGAAAAGGAAGGTAATAGGCCAAGCTGAGATCCTGGCCAACACATTTAAAAAAGCCAACTTGTGGTAGCATCACTGTGTCAAATGGTGATATGAATTAGTCCTTAGACATACAAAAATTAGCAGGCTCTTTGAAAATTTGACTTTGTTGGGACCCATAAAAGACTTTAATAGAACTGAGCTCACCTAGTTCCTACCTAGTCATTTCCTCCAGGAACTCTTAGTCTTAAAGCCCCTGTTGGGTTTGTAGCAGAAAGTTACAGTGGAAAGTCTTTTTATCCAACCCTTACATTCATCTTCTGGCAACATCATTTTCCCCATTCAGAGTTATTTCACAGAGTTCCTACACAGGTGGCATTTGCATGTGGGACTCTTACAGGCAGCTTCTTACAATGAAGAACCATGTGAGAGATTGACACACATTAGAATTGATGTGGTTTTCATGTAATGATTATGTAGGCATGTTGTGTGAAACAGCCCTAATTCTCAGGCTAATATAAACACAAACATGAGCATATATTAATCTAGATTAAAATTTCCGAATACTTGGATTGCCTTCAGATCAATTAGTCTGTAGTCATGGTCAGGCTACAAAACTAGTCCAGTCCATGAGATGCCACTCACTGTCACGACCTATACTAGTGTAGGGTTGCCATATTTCAAACAGTGGAAATCCAGACAGAAAAGTTGTTGAGCTTTTTTTTAGATTTGCCCAGATTTGTAGGTAGGGTTGCCATATGTCCAGATTTTCCCAATTTCTACCAAGACGCTGCTGCCAACAGCCATTTGGTGAGTGGTGGAGAACATGCAAAAGGAAGGGGAATGGCTTAGGGGAGATCACAGAATGAGGCAAAAACTGATAACACAAAAGCAAGACACAGCCAGAGATTCTGACCCTGCAATGCAGAGGAAAAGAGTTACTAACAGCAGTCTACAAACTCAAATTGGTGGAGAGGATTATTTTAAACCAATCAATTTTCATGTGTCTAAACTGCCCAAAATCTCACTGAGAATATGTGACCTTACAAATCAATCTTCCTGGCTGCTGAAGACCACATGCAGGGTTCACAAGTGCCTTCCACCCGTTTTGATTTCACTTGACATTTTAAAGTATGTGCAAGAGGTACTTAGCGGATGTTGAGCCATTACCTTGATCCTTCCTGTCTCAATTTTTAATGGAGCTCTTAGGAACATAATTCGCTTGGTGCTGGATGAGTTGCTTCATTAAGATCATCCCTTCTTAATTCCTTGCATACATACACACATTATTTAGGCCAGATGTTTGTAATGGTATTGCCAAAAACAAAAGTTTATATGTTGAAAAGGTCACACACTATAATGCACAGAACCAAGCACTGAATGGAGCCCTGCCATGCTCCTGAGTATTACAGTGGCACACAAAAACTTCAGCAACAACCTGATGCAGTTAATAAATAATAGATATCACACATTAAGTGCTTGCAGTATCTCCTTCAAATTCTATGGGTCAAGGCTAACAACCACTTGGCACGTGACAAGCTGTTCAAAAATGGGAGCAAGGTGAACAGAAAATTGAAGGCCATCCTATAGCCAGCAAGAATATATCTACATGTTGCTCAGACCAGAGAGCAAACCTTTTCAGGAGGTATTATAGGAGACTGGGAACATCACACGACCTGCTCAGGTCTATTGGTGCAAAGAGGTTTCCTTGGATGGTCTTCCTTAATCTCTACCCACTGCAGACTTTAGTCCTGAGATCTGGTCCTCTGCAGGCCCCACGTTAATGTGATTCCATAGTCCTAAAATGAAGGCCCATATTGTATCTGTATCATTGAAGCCCCACCCCATATAGCTGTTTTAACTGGTCTTTTTAAATTCTTCTTATTAGTTTTTATTCACCCATTATTCATGCTTAATCAAGTATTGTACGGATATGTTTTAATTTATGGTTGGTTTTTGCTCCCATTTACAGTATTTAACAATTTTTCGCTTAGATTCACACTGTTATCTATTTAGATGTTTTGCTTATGCTGGTCTGTGACCGAATAAAGTAAATTCATTCGTTCATTCAATGTGCTACCACAGATGTGGGGAAGGAGAGGAGGTTCATCTCTACACATGCGTAGCGTCTACAGATGACGACAAATCACAAGCATCCTTTCATCTAACTTGTAGGCTGATGGCATGCAACAATTAGATTTATATCTCATTACAGCTCACAGTTTATTAATAGAAATAGCACAAAGTCGTGAAAGCAAAAACGAAATGTGGCAATCACATATATGGGCAGGCTGCACTTAGAGACGAGAAATAGTAACTGCACATGCTCAGTACTACTTTACGTATTCCAGTTCTGAGCCTGGATTTTGATTAAGCCAAAAGTATGTTGTATAGCGGGAAGCAGGTGGTGCTGTGGTCTAAACCACTGAGCCTCTTGGGCTTGCCGATCAGAAGGTCGGCAGTCCCCGTGACGGGGTGAGCACCCATTGCTCGGTCCCAGCTCCTGCCAGCCTAGCAGTTCGAAAGCACGTCAAAGTGCAAGTAGATAAATAGGTACTGCTCCAGCGGAAAGGTAAACGGCGTTTCCATGTGCTGCTCTGGTGCTGGCCACATGACCCAGAAAAACTGTCTGGACAAACGTCAGCTCCCTCAGCCAGTACAGTGAGATGAGCGCCGCAACCCCAAGTTGTTCGCAACTGGACTTAACTGTCAGGGGTCCTTTACCTTTACCTTTTATGTTGTATCGCAACGTGTCAGTCTACAAATAGGCTCCATTGTTTTGCTATACCTCCGGGTACAGGGTATAATAATAATAATATGAATATTATTTAGTACGTTTTAGTTAAACACTTCATATTCAAGAACAAAATGCACCAAGAGTTTGTGTATGGCCAGCAAATGCCATGTCACGTGTTTCAAATGCCATGTCACGTGTTTCAAATGCCATGTCACGTGTTAGAAAAGAACCCTAGACAGAGGAAGCAAGGATCCCAACCTCTTTGTAATTGCAAGCATAACACCCCCTGTGGTAGAGAATCTTCTCATACTTAAGGCTTTATAAGCCGTGTATTTGTGAAGTTACCTTCTCCTGCCTCCCAGCCATATGCTGCTCTGCTGTATATTTATTTCTTGCAGTTGTAATATATAGAAAACAAATCACTAACCTGGGAGAAAGGAGAAAAGCATCATGGGAGGAAAGTATGTTGGCAGGGTGGCTCATGTTCATCTGTACGACACAGTATCATGTGATTACTTGCACATCACCATGAATCATCATCAGATATCTAATGCTAAAATAGACATATGGCAGACACACAGCCAGTCCTTATTTCATAGGCCTTAGGGTATGGCTTTGTTGCTGTTTCTAGAATGAGGTGTGCAATACTTAAGTTTTGTGCATGTAAATACTAAGGGTTTGGGTGAAAAGAGATCTTACTATAAATGAAATTGAAAGTACGTCAGAGCAGAAACCCATTTCCTCCCCCTCCTACTGTGTTAATCTGTAAAATCCTGTTGCCTTGATGCTGCTGCATGCATAAATTAACAATCATATTTGTGTGTGTTTTAGTAGAATCGACCCACTGCGTAGAAGAGTGAGTTGGGTGCGGACAAAAGTTCAGAGAGTGAATTTCTGGTGAGAGGCCACAACAACGGAAGCAAGGTAAGGAGGGTAGGAATCAGCTAAGAGAGAGATGAAACTGCAGTAGATCAAACCCTGCTGTTCTCTTAGCCAAATGGCCTTTGTGGGAGAGCTTTAAAAAGGCCCTGTCCTTCAGCTGAGAGTGTGCCTGAAGCTGTAATTAGCTTCAAACCATGGCCTGTCCTACGCAAAAGGAAAATGTCACACAGTGGTGGGCGTTCTTGGAGACATTGTGGTAGAATCTGGGTACCAGCTGTTGCCTCTGGAAAAGAACTTGCTGTGGACACCCACAGCTCTGCGAGGCTGGCAGGAGGCAGATCCGGTGTTCCTCTTCCTTCACACCTCTTTCCCCTTTCCAGTTTTTTTCCTAGGCAACCCAGTGGGACAAAAAAGAAAGTCTGGTTCAGGAACTTCTAAACCGGTACCAGATCCACTCCTGTGCTTCACACAGGGCCATCCGCAATCAGAACTCATTTAGCCAGGGAGGCATGTGCAAATAATTAGGGAGGGGCAGGATGTGAGACCACTCTATTTTAGACACACTCTCATTACTGTTCCCTTTTGGCCCTCCCTTGGAATGTTCCACGCATTTTGACACACCTACTGATTGCCAGATGAGTGTGTCAGTTACCACTTAGTACTCATCTGATGACCAGCTGACATTTACTGAATGATTCATCCACACAATAGCCCCTGCTGAATTTGGACTTCATGAACACGTTACAATCAGAACACATGTAAAGCAGGCAGACTGCTGTGAAATCTGTACTCTAATATTAAAGTCCAAAGGAGCTCCTAAAAGTTTGCATTTATGAATCTAATTTATGAATCTCTGAAACCATAACCAGAGGATGCAGAGCATACTCTGGAAAGCTGAAAGCAGCAGTATAACCAAATCCCTCTGGAGTTCTACAACTCTTCCCTCCCATTGTGGCCTCTCTACCTCAGTCCATCCAAGTAAGGCGTGCTAAATAATAAAATAATAAAAATGGCAGTCAAGGACAAGAAGATGAAGAGGAGGAAGATAAAAGGAATGTTGCCACACATAAAACAGAAACCCAGTCAGATGGGCAGGGTATAAATAATAAAATTATTCTTATTCTTCTTATTAAACATGCGACATAAGGCAAATGCAGCATATTCCACTGTGCAATGCTCTTGGCTATCATAGTTGCCACCTTGACCTTGTAGCCAGCCAGCAACAGCCTCTCCCCAATGTACATGTACTTGATTGTTCAAGAAATCCAAGATTCCACTGCTGGTAAACACTCTCAGCCAATAACCGTCAGCTGCCTGCAGTGAAGTATAATTTCCACAATTCAACTGCATCTTTCCATAATGCATTTTTCACCTCCTGATAATGCATCCTCAAACCTGTTTCCTGTTGATCCATTAAGTGCCTATATATTCTAGTGGTTCATTCTCACTCTACTGACTTTTAATAATATGCAGCTATCCTCTTGTGATAACTATAGTGGTAGCAATTCTCTTTAGTCAACTTGTAATTACTTGGTGCAGTTTTTTCTTCCCAAATTCATCCTTAAGAGATGACTCTCATAATCCCTTGCAACTAATGGTTTGGAGGTTGACAATGTTATTTTTTTTATTTGTTTGTTGCATTCATATCCCACATTTTCTTTAAGGAGCTCAGCATGGTGCGTACCATTTAGCCGGGTGACCTTGGACCAGTCAGTGTCTCGGCCCAACTCACCTCACAGGGCTGTTGTGAATATAAAAATAGGAAGAAAAGAACAATGCATATCACTTTGAGCTTTTTGGAGGAAAGATGGGATAGAAATGTGAAAAATAAACAGATCATCATCATCATAATCATAAATTGTTTGGGCTACACTAGTGGTTGTTAAAGTATCTAGGAAAGTAGGAGAAGAGATGGGCTGAATTTGCCAAGCTGGAGACTTGAAATACAGCTGGCTGCTTCCCTAATCCTGGAGAGACCACTGTAAGCCAGTGGGAATCTTGCACCCTTTGCCCTGAGTGGCTGCTGGCAGCAGTGAGAGAAGAATAGGATGGGATTCCCATTGCTACCCTACAGTTTGTGCCTTTTGTAGCAGTGCCTAACTATTCCACCCTCAAAAAAACAAAAAAAAAAAAAACAGTACCAAGAATGAGCCCTGCAAATGGTAGGATCACTTTCAACGGTTCTTTTAGCAGTGGTAGAATGGAGATGAGCATGGAAGCAAAAGTACTGTTTGCTAATTTTCTTCTCTACACTTTATGTGTACATTTCTTTTCTACATTTTATTTGTACACCCAGCACATTCTGCATACACTATACACTCAATAGTGGTTCACAACAAAGCAAGGCAAAAACCCCAAAAAAGTAAATATAGAAAAACCCTCAACTGAGGCAGCAATGGAGAATCTCCAGCTTTATAATATGTCTATGAAAAACTGATTGCTTTAGATTATTTATGGATCCCAACTGTCTCCACCCCAATTAATGTTCAGGGAAAGAAAACAGTTAACACCCTTTGTGTCTCTAGCAATTGATTTCATCTGTGCTTGAAATATATTGCAGTCACTTTATCCTTTAATTATTAGATTGTTCCTTCTTAATTTAATTGAATTAGCATGATTTGAAGAGCTACTTCTGAAGGTGCTTGCTAGCAGGAGGGTTAACTGCAAAATATTCTTACACATACAATGCTAATACTCTGGGCCACGTAGATATGGTTCTATATCCTATCCAGTCAGTTTATAGGGCCAGCTCTTCCTTAACTCCACAGCAGAACTACAGTGGTACCTCAGGTTAAGAACTTAATTCATTCTGGAGGTCTGTTCTTAACCTGAAACTGTTCTTAACTTGAGGTACCACTTTAGCTAATGGGGCCTCCTGCTGCTCCACCACGGCACAATTTCTGTTCTCATCCTGAAGCAAAGTTCTTAACCCAAGGTACTATTTCTGGGTTAGCGGATTCTGTAACCTGAAGCGTCTGTAACCTGAGGTACCACTGTACTTTAGATTATTTTGTGGATTAAGGGTAGACACAGCAATACGTTTTGAAACGGTCCATTTCATCAGAATTATTAGAATCCCTTCCCCCAAAGAACACTAGGTTCAGGTGCAATACAAATCCATTCTTTAGTTAGTTAGCTAAACCATTTGTAGGAAGCCTTCAGCCTATGGGACCTAATTAGGCCTGGCAGTCTTCCACATTTGGCCCATGAGGCCACACCCACTTGTCCCACACCTGGCACCAGGTGATAGATGCTGAGAGCAAATCCCTTTGAAGTTGTTGCCTGAAGTTGTAATGATGTCAAGTGATTGGCAGTAAGGTGGCCCCACCTAAATGTCGAAGTTGGCCTGCAATGGGTGAGGGAAGTAAGGATCTAGCTCCCAGGCTGGATCCAGTTCTTAACCCTGAGCAAAATTATGGTTTATTTGAACATCTGAACCATAAACTTCAAATCTTAAACCTCAGTTTGAAGCTTGCAAGTTTGCAAATCACTGTTTGTGCTAAATTCAGTCAATTGACAACCACAGTTATGGCTGCTGCTCCACCGCAGGAGCCTTCTGCACCAAGCAGAGGTGAATGAACTTAATGAAATTATAAACCAGAGCAGATGGAAATCAAGAGCGGGCAAGCAGCCCTAAACTATTGTTTGGCTGATGTTTGTTGGAAAGCTCAAACTATGGTGTGGTTTCTTAACTATGGCTAGCATAATGTTTCACATTGCATCTGAACCAAGACTTCATTTGGCTCTCGACTCAGTGAACCTACCCCAGAATGTAGCTGTGGTTCTTAGGCAAAGGAGACTACCAAGAGCTTATGGTCAGAAGTTTGGAGCAAGAACACTATTCCCACTGGTCATACTGTTGTAATATGGATGGCCATGGGATGGTATCAGCTCTGTGCTAATGACTGTACTTCCTGGTAGACACTTAAGATGTAACTGCAAACGTTTCTTCCTAATCACCACTATGAAGCTAAATTGTTTATTTTGAAAATTTTTAATAATCTTTACCTTCTTTACCTTATTGAAATTAGGTAATATTGTGGTAATTAGGTAATATAACCAATTCGTATTTTCTATTTGAAATGCCCTCATTTTTGACATTTTTATTTACCCAGGCATTTTAACTAACCCTAAACCATAAAAGCAATTTATATTGCTATTTTCTATAATTTTTATTTTTGAACAAAAAAATATTATGTATACTATTGTTGTGGAATCTGGATTAGATGGGCAGTTTATAAATGCATTACATAAATAACATATCTGATGGTTGTTTTTAAACTATAATAATTTATTTTTACTGTAGATTCAAAATCTGAATGCAGGGATTTCATAGGAAGAGATGCAGTCACCCTTCAAGGAAGTTTCAGTCTGCAAGTGATTACTAGCTTATTACAAAGTCTTTTCAGATTCCCACAACTTGCAATCACCTGGGAAATACAATGGTATTTAATAACTGGTAAAGTCTGGACATACCTTCCCAGTATGTTTATTTTTCTGTATATCTTTTATTCTCTCACCCAAAGCAGATGTTAAGATATGGCGGCCAAGACACGCTGCCAGAAGATATCAGGTCAAATCACTTAACTTTGTTTTGCTTCAATCCCACAACTAATTAAATCACTTGTTTTTACATTGAACCCTAATAAAACACCGCTAGATAGCTGCACTGTGATCTCTTGGCCACACTTATGAAAAAAAAATATGAGCACATGGGAAATCAACAATGCAGACAAAGACTTCTAAAATTCATATTTCATACCATATGTTTCATATTTTTTTAACAGGAGATTTTTATCTGTCCTAATGTGGCTAGTAGGAATAATTACTATGGGTTTTTCTGGAAATGCTAAAATAATTGCAGTGCAGTGAGAGGGGTAGATGGGCTCTTAGTCTGGCACTGCAGTCTTTGAATCTATAAAGTTCCCTTGGAAAGATTATGGAAACCAAATTCAGCAAGTCCTTTCTTACCCATTCCACCCTTTGCAGCAGAGAATTCAAGCAAGTTTATAAGGCAACTGACGCATTCATTCATTCATGGGCTTTACCCACTGGCACAACCACCCACAAATGGTTTCACTCATAAGCAGCACAAACCGCAGTAGGATTGTCGGATACACATTCCAGAGGGGATGAGATGTGATTGGAAGGCACAATAGAAGTTCCGCAGAAACCGTGCAGATTAGCATCAAAGTCAAACAATCCATGCCTCTTTCTAGCCCCAATGGGAATTTCGAACAGGTAAAAAGCAGAATAGGTGAGAGATGGAACTTTTGCAAAACTTGGGAATACTTATTTTTGGGAAAGGGGGGTAACGAAACCAGAAGAGATAAGCCACTTGCTCAGGTGATGGTCAAGGGCAGAAGTCAAGAACCTATAGCCACCTCTACATGCCCTCTCATATTCCCTGGTATCTGGGCCAGGACTGTCCATGTCAGGCTTCCTCAACCTTGGCCCTCCAGATATTTTTGGCCTACAACTCCCATGATCCCTAGCTAGCAGGACCAGTGGTCAGGAATGATGGGAATTGTAGGTTGAGGAAGCCTGGTCCATGTAGCTGCAACCTGTTTTTAGCCAAACGTCCCACATCACTTTCCTCTGATGTACAAGGTATGCTACAATCCTTGGGATTCCAGATTCTCAGCTAGACAACAGAACAGTCCTGGTTTAAGAATACATGAATGCATTGACATTTTTTAAAAAAATGTTTATCTCTCTTCCAGACCTGTCTTGCATGAAGTCAGGCCATTGGTTCCACATTGCCCAGTACAGTGACAGCAAATGTCTTCCCCAGCTCTGCTACCTGAAAGACTTTTAACTGGAGATGTCACAACTGAACTATGACCCTTCCCCAGGAATGACTCTTCTCGGTACTTTAAAAAAATTGGGTAAAGAACTGCAAAGAAACTTATAGAGCCCCCCCCCCCCGGTCATAAAGTATGTTTCAATTGTGCCATTTAGGTGCTGTAGATTTGAACTGATCTTGCTAAATAAACTACACAGGAGTTTAATCACAGATGCATAGATTTGTTAAGGCTACAAGAAATTGGATGTAACATTTGATCCCTGAAACAGACGCCAGCAGCTCAAACAGGATGCTGGCTTCAGCCTGCCATAAAGACAGAGCAACAGCTAGCAACATGCCATGCTTAACTAAGGGTGATAATGGCTGAACAATAAGAGATAAGGCATCGCCCCTATCAGCCAGTAACTAGCCCACTTGATCAGTCAGGAGCTCCTTTGTATTGCTAACACGACAGGCAAATCCTGAACCATCAAGCCACCTAGAACAAAAGGCAATTTTCCTTCAAAAAGGCAGGGTAAAATGTTTTTATTTAAACTTTTTTTATCAGATGCACCACAAATCTCATCCAACAACCTATCTCTAGTTACTTTTTGCTTTTGCAGAAGACTGATAATTTAAAAAGATTTCAGAGGCAAATAAACCCATTTCAAAAAAAGTGTAAAAATTGCTGTTTTGATAAAGACAATATTTTATTTAGCACAGTACATAAATAATGGTATATTTCTACTTACAGATTTAACATGAAAATTATCCTTGCCCAACATCCTTTGGTTTGTGGCAGTAAATATTCTCCATATATAGCAACAAAAATATCAAGTGTACACCTAATACAGAACTATAAATGACAATAAGAAACCTTGTATTATTGAAATAAAATCTAATAGAAAAAGACATGTATTACTCTTTGCCTAATACTATTTCGATAGCAAAATAGCAAAAACAATTTGCAGGTTTTAATGTAGTTCAGAATTGTGGACAATGTAACAAGTCCATGTTCTGTCTACAAATGAATTGCTTTACGTTAGTAACAGCTGTAAAATGGAAAGGCAGACTAGAAATAGTTATTATAGCACAATCCACAAATGACAGAACGCTGTATAGTAGCTCTTAAACCTCCCTTCATCTCCCTCCACAACTTAGATAACAACATTTTAAATGCTTTGATTTAACTGATTTGTGGAATAGGCTTTTCGTGCTATTAAATAACTCAACCAATGTAGATGCAACTTTGCATGCTTACCTGCTCTGTGGATAATAGCCTTGGACAAATATTCTTCAGCAATCAAGTAATACAGAATATTCAGCTCTTTAAAGAAATCGAAATTGGACATTTTTGTTGAAGGATGCAAGTTAGAAAATACTTTTGAAAAACGGTAGAAAGTTCAAACTATATCAAGTTAGCATCTGCGATGAATTGGCTAGAACATAAAACACTTTGCTCACAATTCCTACATTTATATATGCCTATAATATATTTGACAAAGACAAACATTTGTTTTGGTACAAGCATCTCATAAAAATAGAGCATACTTTTAAAATAAGTTGATGACGTTAACACCCATTCTGCATATTTAAAGCTTGTCTGATTGTAAATGAACATTTTTTAAAAAAATATTCTTATCCCTTACTGAAAATATAAATAACTAACACAAGAAAATTCAATTTACACTAAGGATTGTGACCTCTTTATTAGCCATGTAATCAACTTAATATCGCTTCAGAGTCCCACACTTGACTTAGCAGTATTTTTTTCACTGTGTTCAGAAACATGGGTGCCGACTTTTGCACAGCAGCCCCCACCCTCCACCCAATGAGCAAATTGGCTTATATTTAATTTTTAAACACATTTGGCTTTGACTTTTCTGTTTTTGGCAGTCAAGATGATCACACTGTAACAGATATTACGTTGGAGGGCATTCTGTTACGTTATTATCTACGCTACAAATGGCAATGTCCTTTGAGCTACTTTCATTCACATAGCCAAGGAAAATGAAAATGATGACTCACCTGCACTGTTTCCTGCCTCCTAAATGAACTCGTGTATGTAATTAATTGCTCCATCTTATCAAAAAGGTAAAAGACCTCCATGTGTTATTACTACTCATACTTTATCCATGAATAATTCGCATTTTCTTTATTTCTTTATAAATACTGTAGTTCTGCCTAGTAGGTTGTCCTGATGGGAATGGGAACTCTGTAACTGCCTGGTGTTCTCCCACTATTTCTATTCACATCGGAAGCCAAGACTGCACAAGTTGTGGCCCTTGGGTGTGCTACACCAACCATGTACTGAAGGCTTCCACCTGTTTTACAGATACTGTTCTCCAGTCCAGCTGGGGCCATAAATGCAGGTGCTTTAGATCAAACACCCGAGGATTCACAATACACAACTGGTGTCCCACCCAGAGAGGACATCTTGTGCATGCCTGTCATAAATGTTTGAGAACAGTAAAACGTTCCCGAGGGACTCTCCTGAATTTCAATAGAAATTCCATACCATGCTTCACTAACTTTATGCTTAGAACCAAAGAAAACTAACATTGATATGTATGTGACAAAACCGAGTCTCCGTTGGCCTGCTTCCATTTTTAAAAGCCCTAGAATCAGCCAATTTAGCCTGTTTTACAGATATTCTATATCCATCACAGGTGGTGACCCAGTTTGCAAGTTACACTCAGCTAAGCCACAGTTTGGTCCTGAGCAGCATGTCTGCAGCAGGACCAAGGGAGGGGACCTGAGACTGTGATCTTGATTCCAGGAACCCACACGTTTGCTCATTGTGTTAAACCATGGGTTGGCTTAGTGTTACAAGTCGACTGAGCTAGTGAGACCTTTCCAGGAAATGGTTGCGCATCGTCTGATCGCCTCCACTGCTTTACATGCAAATGCAGAGGCTTAGCTGCCCAGCTGAGGTGGGATTTTTATTTTTACATCTTCTCACAAAGCTTGCAACATTAAATCACCCACATCCCTAGGCGGGGAGACACCCCTTTTTCCATGTTGGTGACAGCTTTTAATTGTTAAAAGGGCGTGGGATATTCCGATCTCTAATCCGGATTTAGTTGGAGCTTTCTGCTGGCAATTGTGGCTATGGGATATATTACTGCATTCTTTGTTCCTGGGGAGAAAATGGACTTGAACATCATGGAAGTTGGTAGTTCTGCTTCTAGTCTTTCGATATGAAGTTGGGCAAAGCATTTGCTTGACCCTAGCCTCTTTTGCAATGGTCTTAATGAAAGTGGCAACAATTCAACCTGCAAGTGGAGTCTCTCATGATGGCAAACTTTCTCACAAAAAAGCCTTTCTAGATATATGAAGTTTGGTATCAAGGCAAAGGCTAGACTGGAGTTTTTCTCCCTGACACAGTATCTTTGACATGAAGTAATATGGAGGAATGTTCAGACACATAGTGTTAACTCAAAGCCCAGACCCAGATCTACCACACCAGGGGAATGACACCAATGTAACAGACCTATTTTCTTCCCCAAGTCCACCTGTCCTTTCCACTATAGCTGGAGCGCAGTGTAGGGGAGTGTTTTTGGTTTCAGTTGCTCATTCTATTTTTTACCGGTACTTCTGTGAAACACTGACCTAATTCTTCTGAAAAACAATGACATTTAAAATTCTAAGTTGCTCAGGAAGAACTCAAGCACCACTATCATTTTTTAAAATAAAGTAACCGCAGGCACGCCATCACATGCAACAATAAAGAGTGGCAAAATAGGACATTTTATCAGAATTATCTGGAAGAGAACTGTGACCACAAAAGAGGCTTTTAGAACTGTGTTTAATGTTTAAACTGAAGAGCTTAGGGAATTGATTAGTTCCCCCTGGATGCTCAGTGGTCCCTGAAACAGGGAAAGACACACACACACGTGCTTCCCGTTAATACACAACAGGTCCATTTCATGAGTTTCCAACTTTCTCCTGCAGGAAAATGCGTAAGAAGGAATGTAGCCTAAAATCTGGGTCCTACCCACACACCCTCAGGATGAGGCCCTCACCATGAAAGACATGTTGAACTGTGACAGCCATGTTGAAACAAAGATCCAGCAGCAGGAAGAGAACAAAGCAGCATCTAAAGAGATACGACACACAAATAAAAGCTTGCCCAAAGTGTGTTGATGCCATAATCCAAACCATTCTCCTGCATCAGAACAAGATTTGGGGCGGCCAACACTGAACTGTGACTTCAAATCCAAAGATTGCAATATTGCACAAACTAACACTAAGTGAATCTGCACCACTGATTTGAGCTTAGTCCCAAATACATCCACCAAAGGCAGAGAAACAGAAACATAAATATGGGCACCTGGCTAGCCAAGAGTCTACAGCTACAATGCGAGTTTACCAGAAAAAACTGAAGTCAGCAAAAAGCGGAACAGATACAACTTCACTTTATAGCACTACTTCCTCTGAATACTAAATCAGCCCCAGCAAATAGGCTACCCTAACCCCGATCTGACCGAACACAAACAGGAAGTGGATGCTGGGGGGTGAGCAGAACATTCAAAACAAGCCAATTTACAGACAAAGCGACAGAGATAAGACTGAGATGCTTTCTCCTCCAGTATTCACAGGCTGAAGAAAAAGATGAATTGGAATTGTGCCCAATTTTGCAGAAGACAAAATTCTACAATGAGAAATGGTAGTCACGTAGTGATTTTTTACAGGACCCAAAATGGAAGGAAATGACAATGACTTTGGGCGTGATCCAGCCAGAATAAGGTATATTTAAGTCCCATTTATTTCAGTGGAAGAGTTAAGCATATGCTTATTTTAAAGCGATTAACAGGCTGTATTTTGCCCATAACTTAGTCCTTGCCAACAATATATGCTTCCTCTGAGGTGGGTCAGGTGGTACTTATCTCTGGACCCAATCCTTGATTGATACTTTTAGTGGCTTGTTCATTTTGTAATCTGTGGTGCACCAATTGGACCAAAACAAAAGTAGAAGCATATGCCTTAATTAAAGCATGTAGCGTTGGAGCCAGACCTGAGTTATTTTCACACAATGGTACATGTTCCTGAATTAACCCTATTTTCATCTTGACATCATTAGTCCTTTCAAATGCTTAATTGTGCACGTTATTGTATATAAAATACTCAATTTTAGAGCCAACACCTGACCTTTTAGGGCTGCAACTCTCAAACTCAAGATTGTATGAAACCTGCTATTTCATATCCAAACACCAACATTTTAGGATTGAACCCTGAAAGTTGGGACTGGCAGATATGTGCAATGACGTTACATAGTTAAAATCAAATCCACTCTCTGAATCTGCCCACCAAGATGCCATATGTATATCAGATTTTGGAATTCTGTAAAATATATGGTTGAGGCATAAATGAATAATTAAACTAGTCTCATTTTTATATCCCTGAGTTTCAGAACTTCCAAAAGCCAGGTATGAAGATCTTACTATCAAGAATAACATCAGGAGCTAGCCGGAAAAGGGAAATATGTATTATTGAGGATATTGAATGGTAAGTCTAGTAACATAGTTCATTAGCTGAAGGGGGACAGGGAGATGGTTAACTTTTATCAAAGCTGTAACATTAGGGCAAAATTAACAATCCTCAAGTCAGATTGGGCAGTGAAAGGCTTAAAAATTGAGATATACGCATGAAATGTTTGTGTGCGTACGTGCATTTCTTGGTATATAAAGTCTTTGATCGAGCATCAGAATTTCTAAAGAGCACTTATAACCCCATACATATATGACTGCTTAGTAAGTGGTCCAGAACCTGTTAATAAGAAAGTGTGTCAAAGTAAGGGATAGCCAGGTGCCTGGATGCAATTGGAAGCATTTTGCACTGTTGGTGGACTTCCTTCTTGAGGTTGGTTGCATTCACTACAGAGGAAAATAAATTGTTCCTGCTGGATTGTAAATGCACAGATTTTAAAAATCCTCCTGAGGGTTCTCTTGCGCTTTTCATGGCTTTTCTGCTTCCTGTAATTCATCCTGTGGCAAATCTAGAGAGAAACAGAAAGAAAAAAAGAAGATTATGTCTAAATGTGGTTATACCTAGCAGCCTTGATGTTAATACCTTGCAATTCTATTGCCTGCCAAAGTCCTGAGTATCACCAAAGTCAATACTTTCCAGTAATTTAATTTCCTGGTATTCCACTACTTTGCAAATTACAGAGGCACTTCAGTTCTTCTATGCCCCTTTGACCAAGTGTACCTAACCTTAGAAGAGATAAGAGAACGAATAAACTTTCCAGAGGCATAGTTTTAAAGTGCTGTTCCTTTATAACTGGCCGACACCTTGGAAGGACTGTCTATAGCAACCCATTAGTCAGGGAGATGGTTTCTTTAAAATTATCTCTCCATTAATTCCGCCTTTTATGTTGACGGCGCAAGGAGGGGGAATAATAAAACTGCCTTTGGAAGAGAAACGGGAATCTATAAATGGTGAATAGTTCAATTCAGATTTCAATTCCTCCATCCCAACTTCTTTGTCGTTTTTCGGTTCTTAAGAATTTGGTCACATGAGAAAGTGGCTGGGTATGTTGTTAAGAAACTGAACAAACTTTACAGAGGATCTAGAGCCAGAGAGAGATGCAAAGCACCTCAAAGGCTAATCAAGAGCAGCAGCTCAGTGGAAAAACACTGTGGGGACACAAAAGACCAAAGCAATGAAGTCTCGGCAAGAGCATTAATTCCCCCAGGGTCTCTGAGGCTCCTTTCTCCAAAGTGTCTGCTTTCCAAAAGACAATTAAAAGGACCATGTGGAGAGTTGGGTTGGACTGGCAAAGGTCATCTTGCGATGGACCTTCTTTTGTTCTGTGCTGTTAGCACACGCTGAGGTGCTGCAGGGATCACCATACGATGCTGTCTCATTTAATAACTTCATTAATGGCCAAGAAGAGAGTCAAGCAGTAGGTTAATTAAAAGGGCAGATTATAATAAACTGAGAAAAACCACAAATACTCATCAAGAGAATGAAAACACATATACACACAGAGTTGCTGGGGTGGGGGGAATCAGTTTGAAATCCAGAAGACAAATATTTGAGAGGCACATTTGCTGAAAATGGCATCATTCATTCATTCATTGCGTCATTTCTTTAATCCACTGGTATTCTGTTTACTGTTCTCATGGAGGCAGGTAAAAATAAAGCTACAATATAATTAAAACTACACAAGGCAGACAAATGATCAAAATGTACAATTTTAAAATCATGGAAATATATAAAAAAAGCAGACATGATTTAGAATCTAGCAAACTACATATGGTTTACTGGGCTAATGAAATAGCGAGACCGAAATTTCCCACCAGCACTATGACCACAAGGCCCATGGCATAGCAAAGAAGGATACAGCACAGCCTGGATAAATAATGGCAAAGCGCCTTTTAAAAAGGAAGGGCTACTGCATGAAATTAAATCTAAGAGCGAAATTAAATCTAAGAGCTGCTGCAGCTTCTTTTCTTCCAATATGATTTCTCAAAAGAAATATATGATGTTAATAATGATTAATAATTGGTTGATTTCATTGTACACAGGTTGTACATTGACAATAAAGGTATTATTATTAAACTAGCTGATGATAGGAGAATGATGAATCAATGGCAGTTATCACCTGAGGGCTCTCTAGAAATTCTATACAGCGAGGGGGAAACACGGAACTCAAATAAGAGCTCTAGTAATTCTCTCCATTTTCTGACACAAGTATTTTCACTTCTTGGGACATTTTCACTTTCTGCCATCCCCTTCTAAGGGAAGATTTAGCAACCATTTTTGATTCTGAAGAATATGTTACAATCACAATATTCTTGTGCAGGTGGGCCTTATTTAAAGGAAATGAATTGTATATAGTACATGTATTTGGTATATGTATATAGTATATGTATGTAATTGGGTATGTGTTAGGTATCTCATTGGCAAGCTGGCAAATTTCCCAGAATCCTAAAGCTACAATTATTATGATAATATAATTATGATCTTCTAAAAATGCATCTATTGTTCAAAAGGTTCACAATCACTTAACAACAACAACAACATTTTTAGTGGGAAGACCCAGCTTCCTTTTTCTCTACATATAATCTTTCTCCCATGAACATATGCCAAAAAATGTCTATTTCAGAGACTTCGGACAGGAACAAGCTGAAATAGCATTTGGGGCCCGCTGAACAATACTAGTGTGAGTTCATCAACTTGCGGTCTGAAAGAGAAGGAGAAAACAAAAATCCCGAGTAAAATGTGAAACTTTGAAATTTAGAAGTTGACCCCAGGACAATCAAAGTTATATGACCATATGAGACATATTCTCAAACTTTTATTGGAATATATACAAGATTCCAGAAGGGTTCAGTAAAGCACTAATCAAAAACCCACATCTAACACTTAGGTTAATGTTGTATAATGTATAACATTCACAAATCATTGTGTGTTGCAGAAACCTGGCTACTATCTCCTTCTTATCCCCATCCTGAGTAAGCAATTGATCCCTGATCTCAATTTATAAGAAAAGAGCAAGTGTGACTTGTCTAATGTGTGTGATGAAGGTGACAGAAATAGGATTGTAAATCAGAAATTTAAGAATGTTTTTATCTGCTGATGATTTTTGGTTTTTAATGGGATAGCTTTGTTTTTAATTGCTGTAATCTGCCCCAAGTAATGCAAATGCACAGGAAGGGTATTCTAAAGAAATTTGTATGGAAATACTGAAGGGGTGTGTGTTTGAAATTATAATACTTAATTTAAATAAGTATTCACTTCACTTCTGGAATGCACTTTCTAAGCCTCAAAGCGCAAAAGAAATTTAAATATACTACTACAGTGGTACCCCGCAAGAAGAACGCCTCGGAAGACGAAAAACTCGCTAGACGAAGGAGTTTTTCGTTTTCTTAGCCGCTTCGCAAGACGCATTTCCCTATGGGCTTGCTTTGCAAAACGAAGCTTGCCCCGCAAGCTCCGGGGATAGCGGGGAAGCGCAGCGCGTCTTCCCCGCTGTCCCCGGACCTCTTTTGAAGCAAGGGGCGGCGGGGAGAAGATCGCTTCTCCCCGTTGCCAGCCCCGCAATCTCCGGGGATCTTCTCCCCTCCGCCCCTTGCTTCAAAAGAGGGGACAGAGGGGAAGGCGCGTGCCTTCCCCTCTGTCCCCGGAGATTGCGGGGCAGGCAACGGGGAGAAGCAATCTTCTCCCCGCCGCCCCTTGCTTTAAACAGGTCCGGGGACAGAGGGGAAGGCGCATGCACCTTCCCCTCTGTCCCCGGAGATTGCGGGACAGGCAACGGGGAGAAGCAATCTTCTCCCCACTGCCCCTTGCTTTAAAACAGGTCCGGGGACAGAGGGGAAGGCGCGTGGCGCTTCCCTTTTGCTATGTGTAGAGTTCCATAGGCATTCTGTTGGAATAGCTGATTGTATGTTTTCAGAATGTATGTTTACAGAATGGCTGCCTAAGCAAAGATTTCTTAAGAGCCTCTTTCAAGATCTTCCCACCATAACCTTAAGGCTGGGAACATTTATCTTCAATAGAAGCAACTGAGCAACATGAACTGATGCAAATGCAAGTCCAGTTATAAAGCAACCAGAGTATCAGATACCAGCTAATGACTTGACATTTCTGCCTCTTAAACACCCTCTTCCTGCGCCCTCAACCCAGCTTACACCACTAATGGAAGATGTGACCCAGCTAGCACTCTTTGTATTATAATAAGTCTATGCTAAAGCTATACTGAGGGTGTAAGGTGAGAGTACTTCCTACATTATAGTCAGAAAGACACTATAAATAATGGTCCTGGATTGCAGCGCATGTGCAAGCCACTGTTTGCTGGTTCAGATGAAAGGGCAAACTATGGTTTCAACTCAAACCAGGACCAGAGGAGCAAGTTGCCTCATGTGGGAGGTTAACTATGATGATGATGATGACCCATAAAGACAGTATATGTACAGTAAGGTGGCTAAACCACTGGCTAAAAAAAAGCAAAGATGGCAGCATTCAGCCCCATATAATTAAAACATTCTTTCCTATGCTTTTTACAAGAAGAATTGACACTATACTGATTGAATTACTTTGTTCATTGCATGTCGAGACCCCGCAGCCACCCCCTTGTTGGCAATAATTCACACAAGGACACAGATATTAGGTTTATGTTATTGGGCCAATTTTGGCCACAACTTTATTGAAATACAGAATATGAGCGGTATTGGCTTAGGCATTGATTGGACCTGACTATATCTGACTCCTGCCCGTTTTGCAGGAAGTCCGGTAAGGGTAAGCCACAGGTAGGGGGAGCCCTGTCGATGTGAACCAACTCAAGCTCCCCCTGGTGTTCCCGTCGGGGTCGTGTCAAGGCCTTAGCCCCCCAGCCGGGCTTCGGACTAGATCAGGGGTCTGCAACCCACGGCTCCGGAGCCGCATGTGGCTCTTTTACATCTTTGCCGCGGCTCCGGGGCGGATACTAGCGAGGGGAGGAGGCGCATTGTGCGCCCCGACACTCCTCACTGTGGCGGGCGCTGTACTGGCTGTGACGTCGCATGGGGGTGGTGCGTGCGTTAGTCATGCACCGTCCCAACGTCACCTTCCCGCCCGCTGTCAGATCGCGGCTCCGGAGATATATTTGTTTTAAATGTCGCAATGGTTTTGCGGCTCCCAGTTGTTGTTTTTTCTTCGGAAACGGGTCCAAGTGGCTCTTTTTGTCTTAAAGGTTGCAGATCCCTGGACTAGATCAACACCCCCGGATTCCTTTAACGGAATACCCTTAAGCATGGAGGGGCAGATATAATTAAAACATTCTTTCCTATGCTTTTTACAAGAAGAATTGACACTATATTGGTTGAATTACTTTGTCCATTGTTGGTTGCTTAACGAAAGAGGCGTATCTGATTGGCCTCCTTCATTAATGAGGCAAGCAACTATTCTCACCAACAGACAAAACTACAGGGGAGAATTACCTTGAGGGCAACATTTTCCAACAGTTTTATACCATTGCTTTTTGCAAGAGCACTCACCAAGCATCTGCCTGCAAGAAGAGCCAACACCTCTTAAAGAGATGCGAGTTACAACAGTTACACATTGGCCGACTGCAGTTAATACATCACAACTGAAAACTCTTGGTTTCCTTGCTAAAGAGGACAGATCCTGCCACCAATCTAATTACCTCTGGCAGTCTGAGCTGGGCTGCTAATATTCCTGTTAACTCATTATAATTGCATATGTTCCTTTATGGGAACAATATATACTCCAAAAAAAAATATGCTAACAAGAATAGCCTGCATCGCAGGTGAAACCTACAGGTAATGTGAGAATAGTTCTCTACACGTCAACTAGACAAAATATGAAACAATATAGTAACTGAATTTAGAAGGGGGAAGTCAAATAAGTACAAAGCCGACAAACATTAGCTCTCACACAATATGCACAAAGATCATCATAGAATCATAGAATCATAGAGTTGGAAGAGACCACAAGGGCCATCGAGTCCAACCCCCTGCCAAGCAGGAAACACCATCAGAGCACTCCTGACATATGGCTGTCAAGCCTCTGCTTAAAGACCTCCAAAGAAGGAGACTCCACCACACTCCTTGGCAGCAAATTCCACTGTCGAACAGCTCTTACTGTCAGGAAGTTCTTCCTAATGTTTAGGTGGAATCTTCTTTCTTGTAGTTGGATCCATTGCTCCGTGTCCGCTTCTCTGGAGCAGCAGAAAACAACTTTTCTCCCTCCTCTATGTGACATCCTTTTATATATTTGAACATGGCTATCATATCACCCCTTAACCTCCTCTTCTCCAGGCTAAACATGCCCAGCTCCCTTAGCCGTTCCTCATAAGGCATCGTTTCCAGGCCTTTGACCATTTTGGTTGCCCTCCTCATTCATTCATTCCTTGCATAACTGGATTTATTTTGAAACAACAAGCACTGAATACCGATGTCTAATTAAGCAATCTGTTCCAGGTGTAGAAATTCCAATGAACACATGGAGCTTCCCAATTCGTATTAGTGGAGGGATGTAGGGCATCAAACAACTGTGTTCAGACAAGCACTAGCTCTCGCCCTACAGAAATAACTGGAGATGCTACATAGCAATAGGCTTCTTGCACTGAAACAATAGAAGGTAAATGCTAATTCCGTTTTGGTAGAACCTTGCTTATGACTCAATAGATGTATTGTTCTTTTTTTGACTCCAGTCTCAAACGCTGTCATGACTCTTCAGTGCCACTGTGAAACCAAAGTTAAAGGTATTGCACTGTTTTGATCCAACTTGGAGAAGTACATTTTAGAATCAGGCTGGGATAAATTTGTTTTCCACGAGTTACAAAGTGCAAGATGAGAAAACCCGAGTAATGACAGGCTGTATGAGAAGATTTCTCGGTCCCACATGTAAAGCCACAAGGAAAAATCAGTTGCACAAAGAGCCTCCTCATACATCGCAGTAGAGATACACAACAACAGTTGTGACTCACAAGGGCTCCTCTTTCCCCACACAATCAGTGGGGGGGGGGGTAATAGAAGATCTAGATTGCTTGGAGACAAGCTGAGCCAAAAGTTCAAGAAATTAACTTTTTTGCTACTTCAAGGGCAGACAATAAAGGTTATATGGCAAATTCTCTACCTCTTTTTTTTGGGGGGGGGGAGTAGTATTTTTAAATTTCCAGGAAAGGGGGTGGGCTTAATTTGAAAAACAGGGTTTCAGGCTTTCTCTCCCACCCACACCTTTTAATACTTAGTTTTGCTGCTGCAATTGGCAGCAGTGCTCTTTTTTGCAGCTCCAGTGGCCTCTCTCTCCCACCTGGGGAGCACTTTCTTCCCCAACATGGCCCAGGAAAAAGGCTACATCACAAAACGGGACCCATCCAAAAGATGCATTTTGAGGGGGGAAACGACATCTGGGGGGGAAAAGGCTGTGGGATATCAAATCCTCCTCTTTTCAAGGTAAGCCTCTAACTTTGCAAATGTAATGATACTCTTCTGCCCCCAAACATTGCCGGATTTATGCCTCTTTTCTCTTGCCCCCCCCCCGAAGTCTGTTTCCCCAGATAAGTCTTCTCCCACACCCCTGAAATCATTTCCCAAACTGTCCCCTCACCACCGCAGTCTGTGAATAGAACTGTGAAACAAAACTGGGAGTTTTTGGTTCATCTTTATTGTAAGCTCTCTACAAGGAAGAAGATCCATCAGCCTGGATTGGAAAAAGAAACTGGGCCACTAAATAGGAAAACTGCATGTGTGGAAAACCTTATTGCGTCCGATAGTAAACATGACTACCAAGTTGTTCTTGGAATCCCAGCCTTCATACTTATTATCCTATCACAGCCAGTTTGGAACCGCTACACATTTGTTAAGTGTTGAAGAACATCTACAGCATGGGTCGGCAAACTAAGGGCTGTGGGCCGGATCAGGCCCAATTGCCTTCTAGATCTGGTCTGCGGACAATCCAGGAATCCAGGCAGCCAGCATAGTGCGCACGCTCAATGGTTTTTGCAACTCAGCCAGGCTTGGGGGTCAAAAGTGAGGCGGGCAGCTCCATCCGTCACGCACGTGCAGCAATCTTTTCTTCTGGGGTGGGGGGTAGGGAAGAGGGAAAAGGAGCCACAGTTTGGATTTCCACCATGGAGCTGCCGGCCACTGACCTCAGGAAGGGCAGTTGCGGCGGCAGGGGCTCGGAGGCACCTCAGGAGTGGTGGCCACCCTGTCTTCCCTCACGTGGGGAAAAGAACTTTTTTGCTTGAGCAGGGCCAGCTTGACTTAGCGTGGCCAATGGCTTTTCCCTTCACCCACACATGTGCACATGCTCTCCAGGGCTGACAGGAATGGTGCGCTTACCTCAGACCCCCACCCCTCTGCCTTAGAAGAGAAATAATAACTGTCAATGCGTAAAATGCAAAGGAAGCAGCATGGATGTATGAGGGAACCCCCCCCCCCAAAAAAAAAATCACATTTGGGCAACGTTGGGGTTGGTCCCAATAAGAGTTTTTGCCCAAAATGTGGGTCATAAGCAACATATAATCCGGTCCCCCACAAGGTCTGAGGGACAGTGGACCGGCCCCCTGCTGAAAAAGTTTGCTGACCCCTGGTCTGCAGGATCATCAGTGCTTGCTAACCACTGGTGAATAACTGTTCTTCAAATGTGCCGTTTCTTCTTTTAACAAGGGACTATTATAGTGTGAAGAATAAAATAATATTCAAGCTTTCCATAAACGCCTCTGGAAATAATATACAATAACGTTTTACAATTTGATGACATTTTGCTTTGGAGCCTAAGTCGAGAGGAGGAAGCACTGGGGGATTTGGAGGGGGGGTAATGTGCTTGAAAACAATAGCCAGGGAAAATTACTTTCATGTCATATTTTCCAATCTTGGGTTTCACACATTGCTTTTAACCTATAGTGTGCTTTTTTTTTTTAATGCTCCGAGACCTTTCTCCCGCAAGTAATCTCTTGATAAATGTCACTCTTGGCTTTTATTCAAAAGAACAGAAAAGTCACATGAAAGTAAGAGGAAAAGCCTCAGCACTTTGCTTTGCATTTTATCGTATGTTAATTTTTGGTTATCCTGTTTGTTAGGAATCAGTGCTAGGCCATGCAAAGATGACATATGGGTTTCCTAGAGTGAGCCTCAAATTTTGGAATTCACAGAATGCCTGGAAGTGGGTACAAAGTTACAGGAAGGAGTATCAGCTAAAACATGCCTCTACAAGGGCACTGACAAGCCTTATGGAGGAGTCTTATTGGCCTCATTATCCCAACCTGGTTTGGGAAGAGCTGCTTCTTGGGGTTAATGGTACTTCACGGAATCATAAAGTTGTGATTTTCCTGGTATTAAGAGGGGTCAGACACGTCTCGTTCCATTCATCTTTCTAATGCCAGTTTTAGAACATTACCCTGATCCAAAATCTTTGCACTTGCCAGCAACGCATGTCCTGCTTGCTCTGCTATGGGATAGATTGTCGGGGCAGGGGCAAGAGAAGGCAAAACAAATTTAGAAGAAGGGCTTGTTCAAAAGAGTTGAAGAAACTTGGTCTAAGACAGCCTTCCCAATGATGCTCTTCATGATGCATCCATGACAACTGGCCATGCTGGCTGGGGCTGATGGGAGTTTTATTATCACGAGCCTCTAACATATCTGCTGCTATTGCTGCCAACGGTGGTCCATGGCAGGCAGCAGCTGTGGAAGCTCTGGCTTGATGATCTGAGTCTGCATTAAGAGACAGCCAAGATGGTCTCTGACCTTTTCAGCAGCCTCAGGGCTTTTGTAGCTGGAGTCAGTCCAGGCCCCGCCCTCCCAGGCCAGATAGGAAAAGGCATGTAAGGCAGAGAGCTTCCAGGGCTCACAGCCAAGATGGATTTAAGTGTGAACTAACAGAACAATCCTAACTCCCTGATCAGGACTTCTAGAGGGGGTTAGGATTAAGTGGATGGCCCCTCCATGGGAGTGGGACAGATCACAGACAGCCTAGAACTGGCGCAACAGTAAAAAAGAAGAAGAAAACACTCCAATTTGTCCATCCTCATCAGCAAAAGAGCAGGATAGAGGTGGTTCTGCTTATCCCCAGACTCATTTAGGGTTGCCCTAAGTGTAACTCATTTTGTCAGAATTCAAACGAGTATGTACATTGGAATGAACTTCTCAACGTCTAACTTAGCACTGATTGTAATCATTTTATAGAATCAACTGACTGCAAGATGGCAAAGCTGTTAATTTCAATAAGCCAATCAGGAAGCATTCATTTATTTATATTTACGAAGGAACATGGTTTGTGTACATTGGACTCCTTCCTTAAATATTCATTGCTAAATTGCAGTTACTTCAACAGCTTTTTACAGCTGTATTTATTTCTCACAGCTTTCCTAGTATGCACAGATGATTGAATTTATGAACACGTTAGATTTCTCAATTGAAATATGAGGCAATAATTATGGCATCTAAATGCAAAATAAAAAATGTTTTCCGGATTGCAGTGTAAAAGGATGTCTCTCTCTCTCTCTCTCTCTCTCTCTCTCTCTCTCTGTGTGTGTGTGTATAAATTCTTGGAGGTTGCTCTCTGCTACACTATGAACTCCTTTATAGCTAAATTTAAGACTGCCAAATGGGTCAGGGCTTAGGTATGCCTATATCTTTGAGCAAAATTAATCAGCCCCACAATTCAAGGAACAGGAAGCCCATGCCACAATTTCAGTATCTTACATGCAATTAATTGTGTCGAAGTAACTTAGGATTTATCAGAGGTTGACTGATCCTGAACACATTTTATAAAACTGGAGATCAGCCCCCTGCAAAGTAATTCTGACAATTATCTGATGACTGGCTTAGAAAACCATTGGTTGAAGTCAATGAGGCTGCAAATAAGTCTTAGGAGGGATGAAAGTAACATTTTAAAATGCAGTATGGTTTTCTAATGGGCAAAGGAAACTGTAAAACTTTAGTAGACGTAGCATGCTTGGGAACAGTAAAACTTTCATCCGTTTACATGATCTGGTGAGAAATAAGCCCGGTTATTGCAGAAGCCCAAAGCATGGCTGAACAAAGAGACTTGGTGCTTGTGAATTTGGAAACAGTGATTGTAGCTGGTAATTTGGAAATTTTGTGAAATGGCAAATTATATACATAAATTCTTTTCAACTGATATTCTCATTCACGCAAATGATCCAAGCATAAACATGCTTTAATTGACATAAATGTGTGAGAAAAGTGTGGATAACACATCCCCAGTAGAATACCCGGTTTTCACAAAGGCACTCAAAATTATTATCTCACATATCAGTTTGTGTTTCTTAAAATTAAATCCTAATTCTTCTTTATTCAAAGCACTGAATGACAGGCTTGCTATTGCAACAACTGATGGGCTACTGTGCATTCTGGTGGGCTATTGTGCCTTTTCCTATTGTGTATACCTAGCCATAGGTTATGGCTGCTTTTTGTGGACCCACTTTAACTGTTTGAAAACCTGTTGCTATGTAGGTTAAAGTTATACACTAGAAGAGCTCTCCTTGCCTCCTTTGATTCTGCCTGGATTTCATCAACCCCTTCTGAAAAAGAATAATAAAAATGGCCTTTGCTTTCCCTGCCGCAAGAAGTAGGACACTCACTCTGCTGCTCCACCAGTTCCATGCAGACATGCTCACAAATTGGGGGCGCTGGTGTTTTGTTTGCTATTATGGTATGTCTTTTTGTGTTTCTGTACTGTAAACTGCCCCGTGATCCTCAGATGAGGGGCAGTATATAAATGCAATAAATATTACAGTGGTGCCTCGCAAGACGAAATTAATCCGTTCCACGAGTCTCTTCGTCTTGCGGTTTTTTCGTCTTGTGAAGCACGGCTATTAGCGGCTTAGCGGCTATTAACAGCTTAGCGGCTATTAACGGCTTAGCGGCTATTAACGGCTTAGCGGCTTTAAGAAAAAGGAAACAAACTCGCAAGAACTCGCAAGACGTTTCGTCTTGCGAAGCAAGCCCATAGGGAAATTCGTCTTGTGGAACGACTCAAAAAACGGAAAACCCTTTCGTCTAGTGAGTTTTTCGTCTTGCGAGGCATTCATCTTGCGGGGCACCACTGTACATGTAAATCCAAAAGCAACACCACTGCCTAGCAGCTTAACAGCAGGGGTTCAGTGTCTGCCAAGTGGTAATGTTGGACAATTCCAATGAAAACAGAAATGGGGGCAGAAATTGCTGGTGTTTGTCCCAATATTCATCCCATGTCTGGAACAGAAATCAATCCAGCTAGTATGATCAGTATTTGCTGGTTTTGTTGCTTTCAATCCATAAATGATACGTAATTAATTATGTCCACCCGCCCCCCCACAATTTGCAGTGTGTAATTTTGCCATGGCAGACAGCAAATAACATGGATTTTGGTGGAAGGTGAAATGTAGCTGAACGGAAACTATTCTGCGTGTCACAAATACAGGGCAGAACAGAAAACAACCCTATTGGGCACAGCAGCAGCAAGCAAAGGCGGGAAAAATACTTAAATTGTTGGCTTGAAAGTGCATTTTGTCTTTTGAGGGTGGGAGAGGAGCAGAGAACCTCTCAGATGTCATTGCATGCCATATTGGGGAACACTCTTCGAAGCAAAGGAAAACCGAAAAATATCTGGACCCAATGGCTGTGAACCAACATGAAGGTAAACATTCTCAGTGGTAGAACATTTCTGAGATTTTTTTCCCCCAAGCCCCCTGAAAGCACAGCTTTCAACTAGAAAACTAAAACTGGGCTTATTCAACACAGCCCTAATTTTCACTTCAGGAAATGAAAATCACTGATATTTAATGCCACCCTAATTTTATGCACAGTAAGTTTAATTTCCTTCTAGCAAAAACAAATATAAACCTATCACACCGGAGCCCCAACTTGCGAAGAACAGCAGCAAAAGGACACTTTGGATTCACTCACTTCTGATCAAAGCCCAGTAAATAATGCAGCTACCCAGCAAGAGTCCTAAAATAAATGAGTAACTGGATGAATAAAATATATATTTACACTTTTACTATCAATGAGCTAATAAACATTTTTGAAAAGTTTTGATTACTTCATATATATATTTTTAAAAAGCTTTGTATAAAAGTTGATGACATAGTTAGACTTGAAACCAAGCAATAAATAACCAAGTCTAACTATGGGCTGCACACAGCATTGTGCTGTTTCAAATGTTTCTTTCCCTGGGAACTGCTTTTCTGATCTCTCCAAACTGTTCTCAGAGGACCTTCTGGTTTTACACAAGGCATTTCAAGACATTCTCCGCAGGAGACTTTTTACAACAAAGTTCACACAGAACACCAAAAGCGCCACTAGAATCTTTCCAGGTGACATTTCAGGAAGAAATGTACATAGCTACATTATGGAGACGGATTTGATGATGGCCAATCCCAAAGAAAAATACAGTATCAAAACTTAGCAAAGGGAGCAGCCCCCACAGCATTTGACCCAGACCTCCCTCCTGCTGCTGTTCTCATGTATTATAGGTTGTTCCTCTCAGCAAGGAGTGACTGCCATTAGAGGCTCTGTTGTCTTGCATAAAGCAAAACAATAATAATATTAAAATATCATTTTAGAAAGGAAGTTGAGAGAGTCAACTATTAGCAGACGGTTTTAATAATCTTCAGCTTCAACTGGAAGATAAGTAGCGTAGTGGGTAAGAGACTGAGCTCGGAATTAGGAAACTCCGAGCACAACTGTCCCCTCTGCTAAAAGTGGTATAGTTAGGTCATTTCAGATTCTGGGCTTACTGGTCTTAGAAGGGTCTTAGAAGGCCCTCCCTGCTCAGTAGGGCCCTAGATTTCTGCCCCAAAGCCTGCCCCATTGTCTCCTATGAACTTGTCTGAGGCTCTGCAAACTGCTTCTCAGCCTGAGCCCTTCAGGATAATAAGAACTTACAATAACAAATATATAATAAAAGGATTAATGAGATACTTATTTATTTAAATATTACAACCTGTACTTTCATAAAGAATATCAAGGTGGCTTATGACCTACAAAATGATACAATCAATCCAAAATATAATTAAAAACACCCATAATCTATGCCCAAGGCTTTTGACATTCTGAATCAGGTAGCTTCAACCTCTTCAGACCCAAACAGGCCCACTTTCAACCCAAACATGCAATTGGGGATCCATTTCTTGAATTTCTTACCATATATTTGCATGGTGGCCGTGCTCCTGTTGCGACCCACCTAAGATCACTAGTGGGTCCCAACCCACCAGTGGAAGACCAGTACTCTAAATCACAGTATGAATAGTACATATCTGTCTGCTTTCTGGCCTCTAAAGCTAAAGTAAGATATCAACTCACAGAGGCCTGCAGAAGTAAAGGAGACAAGTGGCCCAGGAAAAGATGAACAGAAAACAGATTAAAATAACAAGGACAGGAAGATCATAAGCAGTTATGCCAGTGTCCCAAGCCACAGTTCCCTCTGTTGATCAAATCAGCAGTCTCCAACGGGTATGGGGATTTAGTGCACAGTTTGCAGAGCCTAGCCTCCCTTTCTGGGGAGCAGAGATGGTCCTCAGTGGAGGCTCACATCAGGCTTGTTTGGGGAAGAAGCAACCAACTGGGCTCTGCATTTGGCTGCGGTAACTGCTGCAGGCAATACACGCACAAAGGAAGAACTTAAGGGAGGCAGCTACTTTTAAAGAAAAATAATAATATAATTAGCACATTAAATGAATAATAGCTTTTGATCATCCCTGACACAGAATGCGAAATCTCTCATCAGCTTGCAAGTCAGTGTTCCACCTTGTTCGAAAGGCTAATTTAAAAAGTCAGCATGTGTTCAAATCCTGACATGCGCTGGCACTGGGGCTGGGAACAGAAAGTGGTCACAAAGTTCAGTGATATATGAGTCAATTGAAGCCATGAGTCAATAGGTGCCTGTAGCTGATTGAATGGGCCTCACCAGTAGGTGTTACTTCAGCCATTAATGGAGTTTGCTCTGTGGACACGGCAATATATACGCCT